AACTGAATGACTGTTCATATAGAAATCGCAGGTATTAGTCTCATGCAACAATACCCCCTATAGTTCGTTGCGATCGCGAATTGAAAAGAGGAGAGAAAAAGAAGAGGGTATAAACATGGATCCGATCTTCTTCCCAGATGGCGTGTCCGATCATGAATTCTAATATTTATGCAGTTTTTTTGCTTAACAGAATTAGGCAGCCAGAGACTTATTGCATTGATTTTTACTGTGTTGTCGTTTTAAGCATTTTGAGGTTTAGAATAAGTAGTAAATTTGCTAGTCATATTATTTTTAATTAATGATAATTGAAAAATCAATAATCATCCTTTGTAGAAAAAGAACTTCCAATACATTTCAACATAGCTGGTGGGTAAACAGGAGAGACTAAAAATTCTTCTCTCTGTAGTCAACTATATGAGAATGGAAAAATGAACATTGTTTCTGAAACAGTCTTTTAAAAGAAAATGCTAATTGCTTTTGAAAGGTATAAAAAGGTAAATTAATATCTATCTATATAGTTTTTATATTTTTTTTTCAGAGGAAAACTTGCTTTGGGGTTTGATAGGATTTAGGTAAACAAATATTTACTTGAAAAAAAGCAACTTGTTTATACATTTATCTTTCAATATGAATTTCTCCTTTGAAAAAAATTTAAAGTTGAAAATGTTTTAAAAGGCATTAATCACATTGTTTTAGTATAATTTTGATAATGGTAGCTATACCCCACACAGGCCCAAATATCCACAATACATCTTTGAGATCTATACAAGGTGCGTAACGTTTTTTAAAAGTGCTTATTTTCGTTTTTTAAAATCCCTTGAAGGTGCTTCTTTCATTGGGTGTTTTTAAAAAGTGATTAATTTACTCTTTTTCAAAACGAGATTTTTCCTTTACTTTGTTGATTTTACTTTCAAATTATGATACAAAAAGATACCGTTTGCATTGTTCTATTCAACGTTTTCACAATTCATTCAACCCCATTCTATTTTGGTTTATTGTCAGTCCGTAGCGTATGAAAACGTCATTCGTTTTATATGATTCAAAATTTCATGATTTTTGACAATTGTCAAAAACAATGCCAAAAGTTTTTTTTTTTTTTGACATGACGGTTAAAACAAGATAAAATCGTCAATTGTCAAAAACTTTCCAACCCTGCCAATTATGATATTTTCTTAAAGTGCTTAAAAATATTTTTTGAGTGCTTGAAAAGTGCTTAAAAATATTTTTTGAGTGCTTGAAAAGTGCTTAAAAGGTGCTTATTTTTTGTTGAATATTTTGACTATGCACCAGGGTTTGTTGATTTAAATCAGCTTGATTTAAATCACGATTTAAATCATGATTTAAATCAAATGATTTTTTTTAAAAAATCATTGATTTAAATCAATTATTTCTTTTTAAATATATATCTTGATTTTAAAAGTTAAAAATCAGTGTTTTAAATTATTGATACTTCTATTATTTTGTTTTTTTAGTTTTAAAATTTATTTTAAATAAATTGCTGCATTAATTAATTTTAGTTAACGAAATTACTTTCGTTCTTGGTGTTTGTTAAATCCCAACACATTTGAAATTACATTTTTAAAATGTTTTGATTCTTGAGATTGAAAGTACAGATTAAGGTAAACATTTAATGCTGTCTTAATATAGACTTGCATAGCTGTAGAAAGTAATTAATAAGCATGATTTTTTCAAAAAATAATGCAAATAACGTTAATTAAAATTCCACCTTTTGAATGAAAAATCCTAGAATTAAAATCTACATTATATTTTATTGGTGGAAAATGTATATTTCTGAAGCTTGAGGTTATATTAAAAGGAAATTACCCTAATATGCCAAAAGTAGAAAAAGAAAAAAAAAAGGCTGATGAATTCAGATATTTTTTTCCTGATATAGTGTCATTCTTCTCTTCAAAGTTTATTTGAAGCAGTAGGGTTATGTTAGCAGTAGGGTTATAATATGTTTACAGTATCTTTGACATTATCTGATTTTCTATAAAGAAATTTTGTGAAAAAAAATTTAATGAGTACATAGAATTTAAAAAAAAATTTTTTTGGCTTAACTTATCTATTTTGATATATAGAATTAAAAATAATTATTTTAATAAAAAAATATATAAATTAAATATTTATTTATTTTTTGATGAATGTCTACATTTATAAACACATCACAATTTTAAATTAAAATTATGGTTTACTAATTGAAACTTTGTTTTAATAGCTATAGTACAGGGGTCTATCCAAGCCAAATTTACTAGCGTTTAGCAGTACCTTCACAAATTAAACTTTGTATGTAACGGTAGCACAACTTAGTAACACAAATTCAACTCAAAAACGGTAGAATAATTTGACAAAAAACTTTTTTCCTAAAATGCTATTTTTGTGTCTCGCAAGAAACGATAAATCCATATTTTTACCATGTTTGTGTTGATTTTTTAATATGATTTCTAATTTTAACAAATTATGTCTAAATTTTCAAAAAATAGGTACCTCTCACAAAAACCTAGACAGACCCCTGAAGTATTCTTTAAATTTTCTATTTCATCTAGTCTTTAAATTTCAATTANATTGGGGCTTCTTTGAATGCTGAACCTATTCAATAATGAAGCAAAAAGCAAATAAAGAAAAAATGCTTATTGCTACTTTTCATGCTGTAAATGGTTTTAAATATTGGTGTACGTTTTTATTTTGAAGTAGAAATTTCAAAATTGTCAACAAATAGTGAAGAAAATAAATCGGATGAAGTCAGAAAAAAGTTCATAATATCCTACTTCCTCTCCTTTTTTGGTTCACTATATCCACAAAAAACATTATACGTGTGTGGCAAGGCACGGGAGCGAACATTTCGTTCACTATATTCGGGAGTTCACTATAAACTGTGTTCATTATAGCAGGGTTTGACTGTATTTCTTTGTTAAAATCATTTTAAAATTTGGTATTTTGGGGTATTTTTATTAAGTGCTTAAATTTCCCTTTTCAAAAATGAGATTTTTTTTCTTTACCATGTAGATTTTGCCACTATTACAGGAAAGTGTGCTTTTCACATAGTTTAATTCAACGTTTTTACAATTCATTCAACCACAATATATTTCGGCATACCGTAAGTCCATAGCAAATGCAAGCTCCAATCATTCTACATGTTTGATGAAATACTTGCGAGTCTGTGTCCGTCTACTGAGCTGGGTTTAGTGAGATTATTGCTCTCTCATGTACAACTCTACTGCATTTTGCAAGATATTCTCAATTTCAGGCTTCATTTTGCACTCTCTGATATCAAACCGAAAAATCTCTTGATCATTTCATAATAAAGGTTAATAAAATCAAGAAAAGAGTTCTTTGTGAACAATTAGTTATTTAATCATGATCACGTTAAGTCTTTGAAAATGATTTTGCATTTTGTTAATGTATATAGTTCTTAAAAGTATTTTTTGAGTGCTTAAAAAGTACGGAAAAGGTGCTTTTTTTGTTGAAAGGTTTGGCTACGCACCCTGAATACAAATGCGGATTCTCGAAAGATAGATTTGGAAAACTGAGAAATTTTAGTTTTTGATCTAACATCTTTTTATATTAATTATTAATCAAATGAATTAAGTTATTTTATTTAAAAGTAACTCGATTAACAATTTTACGTTATCAAATTTTTACTATGTTCATTTTAGTATGAAACATACTTGTACAAAGCTGTTAAATAACATATTCACTCTGTTTTTGTTTCCAGATTATATTAAAGCACTACTTTCAAAATTTTTAATTAAAGAAATCTTGAACTCGCTTACAAATTTATATTACATATTGATATCTAATTGGTACTGGTAAATTTTTTTTTAATGTAACAGTTCTATAAAGTTTTTTATGCTGTGATCTGAAACTGTTATCAGGGGTGATTGTATTCTGGGTATACCCCGGAATTCCGGTTTTTTCGTATCATCCCTCCAGGTCTAGTGACTAGGAGTAGGGTGTGTGATTTTTCGTGCAACTCCTTGTATCTCAAGAATAATGATTCACTAACTTCCACACATCAAAACTTATAATCTGATGAAATTTTCACTGCAATCTAATATTTAAAGTAACAATCAAGTTCTTTTATCTAAAATTAAAATTTTGAATCACATTAACGATGTTTTCATGCATGCAACTCTTTAACTTTTATTATTATTATTCAATTTTTTTGGTTTGTCGGATTTTTGTCTTTTTTAATATTTGAAATTATGCTGGAATCCGCTAATATTTCGTGATTCATATTCTTGCTATTTTAATATCAAACTTCGATGTTCATATTTACCCGATTTGAAAGTTACTCATTGTGAATATGATTTAAAAATCGTACATCATGATTTAAAAATCAAACACCTAAATTTGTTTTTACAAGTTTTTGAAATCAATATCGCAATTCGTATTCACTCGAGTTAAAAATCCTATGTGGCTATACGTATTCACAGAATCTAAAACTTGTGCATCGCGATTTCTACTTACGCAATTCAAAAATTCAATATCGTGATTTATGTTTTCACGTTCTTAATATCCAATATCGTGCTTCATGTTCACGCGATTTTAAAATCCAATATCAGGGTTCTTGTAAGAACCAAGTTTTTTCCTAAATTAGTTACTATAAAAGTTTGGTATTCTTGCGTTCTTTATATCTAAAAAACGTTCTAAAAAAGTTTGGTATTCTTGCGTTATTATTGCGTTCTTAATATCCAATATCGTGCTTCATGTTCACGCGATTTTAAAATCCAATATCAGGGTTCTTGTAAGAACTAAGTTTTTTCCTAAATTAGTTACTATAAAAGTTTGGTATTCTTTATTTATAAGAAATTTAATTATAAGTCAAATATATTATAAATCAAATATATAAGTCAAATATATTAAAAATCAAATTTTTGTCTTTGCATCACAATCACCCCTGCTGTTATGATTATTCATTTGCAATAAAATTTGCTCGTATTACAATGTAGCAGAGCAAACTATATTTATTAGTGAGTCGTTTTTAAAAATAGTATGGTATACTGTTTTGAGAAATGTTTTCTCTTTCACCAATAATGTATGATTTCTAAATGTGTGTATTTACTTTTTTTTTAATTCTATTTCAGGATGATTACAGTTACAGAAATTCCAGCAGTAAGTAGATATAATATTTTATATGTTCCAGCATTAAAATCATATCCGTATCACTATGCCAATATAATAATCTGATAAATTTATTTCCCCAGTTAATCTGGCTTATTGCATGAGCTACTATTTCCCTGCTGGAAAGTTTGGATCCTCGAACATTCAATACCGTACCACTCACTTGGAATCAGACATTCCACGATATTTGATTCTAAGGGAGTGGCTAATATTTCACCAATCACACAATTTGCATAGGATTATTTTTTTCTTTTGTGTGACAACATTAGTATAGATAAAACAAAACTGAATGAGTATATAAGATTATGAAATAATATATTAAGCTATTTAAATAATATTTTTGACTATTGTTTTTTACAATCGGGTCTGTCCAGGGCAAATTTACTACCGTTTTGCGGTACCCTCACAAATTCATCGTCTGAAAAAATGGTAGTTTCACAAAATACTTTAAAAAAAGCAAGGTTTAAGATTCTCTGCCTCTTAAAATTTTGTTTTTGTATACCCATAAAAAACTATAAATCCAAGAGTATTTTAAAATGAAACGACTATACAGCAATTCAAAATTCGAACATCATTCTAAACATTCGAACAAGTTCTAGTCTCATTCTTTTAGTTCTAGTATTGTTAAATGCATGTTGAAATTTTACTATGTAATATGGATTTTTAAGTTTGGCTACAATTTTAAGTTCAAATTTACAATGGCAAAATTACTTTTTAATATATGGGGAAAAATATATGGAAATTTACCGGTCATAAATGATTTTTATTTGTAGGGTGAAAATAATTTCTTATTTTGCCATATTTTTTATGTTTTTTTTTTTAATGAAATTTTTTATGTCTGAATTTTCCTCAAAACACCTCTTAAAGAAACCCAGACAGACCCCTGGTTTTACAATCCTTGAATTAAAGTTGGGAATCATTCACTAATAAAGTACTTTCAAGTGGGTTGGGAGCAGTGAACAATTGCAGAGTTTCCTCATTTCATTTAATAAAAGATTTTTTTAACGTTTGTGCGTAAAGAACTATTCATTAATTATATGAAATATTTTAGGATTTTTATTGTAATCTTATTTTATTGGTTTTGTTATAAAAATTTTCAGTACTTTTGGGTTATTATTTTTTTTAAAGAGAAAACTCAATTTTTCGAGGCAAGATTTTTGTTTAAAAAAAGTATGATGTGAAGGACTTTTCATTATTTTTAATACTTAGAAAATGGATTTAGAAATGTTTTGCGATTCAGATTTGTTGTTTCAAAATAATATAATTTATCGATTAATCATTTAATTTAAAAACTAATGAAATTTAAAATTTAATTTATCTTAAATTTCTTAAATATGGTAATTATAGGGACCCTTTAATTTTCTCTAGTCAAAAATATTTAGGTTTAATATTCATCGTAACTTCATTTAAAATTATTGAAAAATGTTTTAATCGTTCCATTAAAGAAATACTGAACCAACAAATTAAAAATTTGAATTGAACCAACAGAAAAAATTAATATGGCACCATTCATTGATTTACATTTGTAATATGAATTCATTTAGGTTTTTTTAGTTTGCTAAATTCTCTAAACATTTTTATCAATTCAGTATGTTCAATAATTATTCTAATCATGTAAATGTTTTTGTTGAGTAATCATTTATAATTAATATTATAAATTTTTATTTAAACTTAGAAATAAAGTATTTTTTTTGCATAGTTTGATATTGTTATTATTAATTTAAAAAATAGAATGAGCAACTCCATATTAAATACATTTAAGATTGCATGTGAATTTTTTTCTTCTGACCTATAACATCAAGAATCTTTGTTATTTTATCATAATGTATTGCCTGTAAGTTTTGTAACACCTGTAAATGTTTTGTCATTCTGTTAATTTTATGTTCGCATAGATGAAGAACTTTTATCAATAACAAACAAAAAAAGTTTTTTGGCTTGCATATCCTAATTATTATGGTTTTCATTTCTTTATTTTTTTTTTTTTTAAGTGATTAAAATATTATTATAGTGTTTAAAAAGTACTTGAACGTAGCTTATTTTTTGTTTGAAAATTTGGCTACACCCTCAGTTATTTTTTTAACACTTTAAAGGGCCATTTATTTCTAGTAAGGTTACATTAATTAAAATGCTTTTTGAATTTAGATGAAAATGCTCATTTATATTAGTTGATTATCCAAATTGAAAAAGGAATTATATGTTATAACTTATTTTATATTCCCTAAACACAGGCATATTGTAACCAATTTTATTCAATATTACTTCATCAGAGCTGGAGTTAAAATAACAAATGGTATACCAAAGTTATAGTGGTGGTAAATATACTTGCCATGGTAGGTAGTATGAAGGTTGAAGTAATGAAGTTTTAATGAAGTAATCCTTTATTTAATAAAATTCATTCTTAAATATCATCTACTTATGTGGAAATATCATGGAATAAGAAAATGTCTGCTTAGTGGATACCCTGTTGTTAAAATAAATATCTTTTCTGTCTCTGTTTGTTACTTAAAGTAGTATTTTAGTTTTAATGTGCATGCCTTTTTTTAATTTCAGACTATAGAAAAAGACGCTCAGCATCTCCTAAAGATCATGGTAAGAAGATTATTTTTCTTTTGAGCTTTAATCACAAATAATTTTATTTTACAAACTGAAAGTTAAATGCATTTAAAATATTCATAGCACCAAGGGCAATATGCATAAACAAAGCATTTAGATTGAAATAAAAGTTTGATTTGAAAATAAAAATATCTTTAGAAAATGTACATTTTATTCAGATTTATTTTACTTCTGTTTGTACATCTTGAGCATTTGCAATCATTGATATTTTTGAATTAACAAAAATTTAAATTGTTATATGTAACATTGAATATAACCTCTATATTTTTTATTTCATTTTTTTCTTCCCCTTTTTGCGAATGTATGTTGTATTTCCCTATATTAACAATTATTTATTTTTTGAAAAATCTTACGTTTTGCAAATAATAACTAAATAATTTTTTAAAAATTTCATTTAGTTACTTTTATGACTCCCTACGTAGTCATACATGATTTTTTTTAATCATGTAATTAATATTCCAAGAAAAGAGAAAAAATAAGTTTTTTTGTCATTTTACCTCTAAATTTTTAAATATTGAATTGACTGGGTAACTTCCATTGTTTAATAGTTCATACATGCATGTGAATAGTAATTCCTTTTATTCATTCATGTTTTGAAAAGAAAAAAAATGTGCAATCTGTGCACATGCTGGAAATGTAGTGTGTTTGTTTTAACTATGTATATATAACTTAAAAATATCGAGAAAACATGGAAAGTATTAATGGTTAATGAAAAGCGAAGAAGAAAAGTTAATAAACTGAAATATTATTTTAATATATATATATACAATATATAATAAAAAGCTGGAAAACAAATACAAAAAAATGAAAAGATATAATATCTTTTCATTTTTTTGTTTTCCGTCTTTTGAATATATATTTTTAAATTTTTTAAAAAAAAACTATTTTATTTTAATAATTTTTCTTCTAAGTTCTATATGCTTGCAGCTTATGCTCAGTAAATAACACTTTTTAAATTTCTTAATTTTCTTTGTTTTTCTTAAACGAGAAAAACTAAACCGAACTAAAAATTATGAGGTTGAAAATTGCGCAGGGAGTAAGATGGAATAAAAAAATTTAATATTTGATAGCTAATTTGCGAATCATTAATTGTTAAACTGATAGTCAAAAATATCATGCAAGTAGCTTTGCAGTCTGCAGAACTGCAGCTATACAGTTGAAATTTGACATGCTGAAATTTTTTTTATTTATTTATGATCTTAATGTGAGACTTTTTAAGAAATTCTAATTTATTCAAAAGCTATTAAAATTTCAAATGCTTCGTAATGCTACAATAGGCATCCTAGCTTCCCTGTGGCCGAATTGTGGCGACATTGTCGCAGAACCTTACTGATTTCTTGCAGAAAGATTTTTCCTTTGGGAATTAAAAAATTTTAGTTTTCTTTTCTGTAGAAATTTTTAAAGGATTTTTTTTTTCATAATATTCAAAAGACTATTTTCTCTCTCATCGGAGTGGAGGGAAAATGCTTGTGATTTCTCTGTTTTCATTTGAGAATAATGAAAATTTTTGAAGAAATTTTTGTTCTATTTTTTTATGATTGATTTCCACTTAGCTTTTAAAATCAAATATTTTTAATACTGTATTATTTATTACAGCAACTGAATCTCAAAATGAAAACACACATTTAGTAACTCCTTTTTGAAGAGTACGATTTGCATGTTTTTGCCGTCTCTCGCATATTTTTTTCTTTTCTCGCATTAAAAAATTATTAACGTGAGAAATTCACCCACTCTATTAATCATTTTCAAAATGGCGAATCTCTCGAATTTTGAAAAAAATTTAGTCTTCCAGGATTTTGAATAAAATCCGTTTCACTTTTCTTTAATCTAATCTTTCATTATTTTCAACATTGGTCCTTGTTATTTAACTTCCCTATTTACCAGTATTGTTCAGAACAGGTGCGAACAGCAGAACCCCTTTCAAAACACATTTCTCTGCAACCACGTGTTCACCGTAGGTAAGGTTTCTTCATGTAAGATGTTTAAATGTTTTGTGCATGAATGTAAGATGGACAAATACCTTGTAACGGCAACATCTTCTACTCCGTAACGGGCAAATGAAAATGAAACAAATGTTGGTAGAAACAGTAAAAATGAAACAAATGGTGGTAGAAACAGTCAAAACGAAACAAATATGGATATTTTTCAGCTAAATAAAAAAATCAGTTGAGAAAAAAAAAATGAGTCCTTTATCATAAGTTATTTAAAGTCAGCTCTATTTTTAGCTGTTAATGAATTACCAAACTCCCTTATCGACAATTTACAGCAATTTACAAAAGTTGAAGACTGTGAAAACTATGCTATGCTGGAAGACATAGCATGATGTATGAACATGGAAAGAGCTTCAACGAACTTCACTATCTTACGTTAAGCAGAAATAATTGAAAAGCCTATGCTGGCAGATGTAGAGGATAGGTCAGCATCTGTTGCGAGGTCACTTAGCACCCAAAACTGATTTAAGACAAAATTTCGTAACAGATTGACTGATAAGCATTTAAGCAACCTAATGAGAATAGCTGATGAAAAAATAAATGTCGAACATTTTCCATGTGATGATGCAGCAAAAATATTTAATGCTTTAAAAATAAGACGTTAAAAATTTATTATAATTAAATAAAATTTTTTTCCACGGCTATTCGAGTTTTTTTAATTTTTAGAAATCTCACTTAACTTCTTGAAATCTCACCCTGTTTTTGAGAAAGGGTGAGAAATTCTCTCCCATTTTTTTTCTGTAATGAAAAACACTGTATAATAAAACTTTCTAAATTGAATAATAAAATTTGAATAATAATGCTAATAAGAACNAAAAAAAAATGAGTCCTTTATCATAAGTTATTTAAAGTCAGCTCTATTTTTAGCTGTTAATGAATTACCAAACTCCCTTATCGACAATTTACAGCAATTTGCAAAAGTTGAAGACTGTGAAAACTATGCTATGCTGGAAGACATAGCATGAAGTATGAACATGGAAATAACTTCAACGAACTTCACTATTCTAATGCAGAAATAATTGAAAAGCCTATGCTGGCAGATGTGGAGGATAGGTCAGCATCTGTTGCGAGGTCACTTAGCGCCCAAAACTGATTGACTGATAAGCATTTAAGCAACCTAATGAGAATAGCTGATGAAAAAATAGATGTCGAACATTTTCCATGTGATGATGCAGCAAAAATATTCAATGCTTTAAAAATAAGACGTTAAAAATTTATTATAATTAAATAAATTTTTTTTTCCACGGCTATTCGAGTTTTTTGAATTTTTAGAAATCTCACTTAACTTTTTGAAATCTCACCCTGTTTTTGAGAAAGGGTGAGAAATTCTCTCTCATTTTTTTTTGTAATGAAAACATTGTATAATAAAACTTTCTAAATTGAATAATAAAATTTGAATAATAATGCTAATAAGAACAGGCCATGGAAGATAAATCCCCCTTGACCTGCCTGATCAAGAGCCAATTTATAAGCCAAATTAAAAATCGAAGGTTGGCAATAACATAGGCAACCCCCGTAATCCATATTATTGAAAATAATTTGGCGAAAGCAAATCGCCAAAAAGACTATGAGAATTAGTGTAACTGAAACATTTTTGCATTAAGAGATAAAGAGTTATAACTGGATTTTAGTGAATGAATGAGTCTACATTAGTAATGAAATAAAAAGTTATCCCCTTACATTGATTGTTAAGAAGAAGAAAAAAGAAATGTTTTATGTTCGCTTTTTATAAAATGTAAAAATTAAATAATTGATTTAGTTTAATTCCATTAAGAATGATTAAAGAGAAAAGGTTAAGAAATTTTAAGAACTAGGAAATATGTAATGCCTACTGTGGCATCACATGCTGTATTCGTAAATTTTCCATTATTGTAGAAAATTTATTTATATCTCTGAATATAAAGAAAATTTATTTTACTTTCATGTCTTAAAATTCTTTGTTTACTTTTTAGAATCCAGGAAAAGGTATTCTGAATCCCCTCGAAGACAAGGTAATATTTTTAAGACTATCATTCAAACTTAATGACTTGCCTGTTGTGAGTGAAAAAATAATTTGTTCTGTCAATTTGAGGATTTCTTTTGAAAAAGATAGTTTAAAATTTATATATGCTTAAAAAGATTTTCTTTTAAAAACATTCAAAACAAATTATTTTTTCCAACTCTTGTGAAATCTTTAAAAACCTTTCTTAGTTTCTTTTTTATGCATTATAACATTCTAAGATTTTATGGGTTATATCATTGTAACACTTGGAATAAAATATGTGATGGTGCGAATAAAGTAAATTTGTTTACATTAAAATAAAGATGGTGGGTTGTAAAAATTGTATAAGTGCATATATTTGTATATGCATTTGGATATAGTCATGCTTAAAAATAGTTAAGATTGAATTTCATAATAATTAACTTAAGGCCGAAAATAGTGTGAAATGGTAATTAAATTAAGGGGGAAATGATTTTTAAGGAAAGTGGTAGTACATAGCTAATGTGGGATAACAATAACCCAATAGGTTCAAAGGGTCACAAAATGTGAGGTTTGAACTAATTGGATAAATTGGCATCACCAAATTTGGAAAAAAGGCGAAACTAAAATAAATTTAAGGTTAAAGATGAAAACGATTAATGACATGCTATATCCAGATACAGACTTGACATTTAATACAGTAAGATGATGTTTCCAATGAGAAAATTACAAATTCCCTTAACAATAAAAAAGGTACTAACCACACACATACAGGAGGACATGATAAAGACAATCATCATGGAAATAGAGGCAAATAAAACATTCTCCTGCACAAGATTAAATTATTAACATATCATTTTATTTAGTGACATGGATCTTTCACCACATCTACTAACGCAAGAAAGGCATTTTATTGAAATGGGTGACGGGAGAATTAAAACAAAGAAGGCATCATAGATAAGAGTAAAATATAAAAGAATGAGTAATTTAAAGATTAAAATAAATATGGAAAGAAAGCTTAGATTCGAGAAGGTTTTTATTTAATGTTAAAGAGAATTAAAGGTATAAAATGTTGATTTTAAATTTACAGAAATTGATTATAGTTATGCATTTAATTTAAGATAAAGGTTAAGAAAAAAATGTTTTAAAAAAATCCCTCGACACGGCCCGAAGTCCGTATCCCGGGGAAAAAAGAACCAGCAAGGAGGAAGCACGAAGAGAGAATCTCCTAAAAGTGGCTTAAAAATTCCTTAACTGGGGTAGGACCAGAAAAGTTACAGCCAATTAAATTTAAAGAGGAGGAGAGTTTGAAAATTAGAGGAAGGAGATTGGTTAGTTAGCCCCCTTAAAAAATAAAAGAAGTAAAAAAGAAAGAGGGTCTAATTCTCCCCCACAGAAAGTGCGATGACCTCGTTGACTGTAAGCGAGGTCAACAAGAAAGTAAAATAAAAGTTGCTATATTGAAAAAAAGGAATAAAGTTTAAAGAGAATTAAGGGATTAGATAAAATTAAAGATTATATTGTCACATTACATTAAGTGTAAATGTGACAATCATTACAATAATGTATTAATTTTGTCCTTGGCTTAGAGCTTATGTTCATGTGTTGGGTCGTCAGATTTGTTGACGGAACATCATGTTCTGTTGTAATTTTAAATGTTCTCTATGAAAATTATCATTTTCTATGATTATTTTCATGTGAAGGTACATCGTATTAATTTCTTATCTATGTTGCATTGTCTTAATAATCTTGCATAGTGTTTTTGAAAAGTGCTTAAAGGTGCTTATTTTCGATTTTCGTTTTTTAAAGCCCTTAAAGGTGCTTTTTTCATCGGGTGTTTTTAAAAAGTGCTTAATTTTTAAAAATGCTTGATGAGATTTTTTTCTTTACCATGTCGTTTTATCGCCACATATTATGCAAAATCATGCTTTTTACGTTGTTCTATCCAACACTTTTCACAAGTCATTCAACTACAATCTATTTCAGCATACCATTGGTTCATAGCGTATGAAAGTGCCAATCATTTTACATGTTTGATGGAAAACTTGTGAGTCTGCATGTGCTTCTACTGAGCTTTGTTCGGTGAGATTATTCCACTCTCATATGTGACTTTGTTGCATTTTGCAAGATATTCTCCATTTCAGGCTTCATTTTCCCCTCTCTGGAATCGAACCAAAAAATCTCTCTATCTTTTAACGGTGGCTAATATAATCAAGAAAAGAGTTCTTTGTCCTAAACTAGTTATTTTATCATGATCATGCAAAGTCTTTAAAAATTATTTGGCATTTTGTTAATGTATATAGTGCTTAAAAATATTTTTTGAGTGCTTGAAAAATATTTGAAAGGTGCTTATTTTTTGTTGAAAGATTTGACTATTCACCCTGTTAATGAAGATTGAATGGGGCAGAAGCTGTAGCTAATCCATTGCAAATAGGAAAACTTCTGCAGCAGCTACTTTTTTTCATAATTTTTAGTGTAATGTGCGATTTTTCGAAAATAGTAATATAGTCAGCAGTGCAATCCAAAAAAAAAGCCCCAGTAATTTGTAGCAGTTCTATGCAACTGCTTTTAACATGAGTTTAGCAAAGAAACAAGGTTCAAAACTTTTGAATCAAAGCTTACAAATTGCAGCAGCGGATGTAATGAGAATGTCCCTGATTCACTAAACTTTTTTTGTTTTTTAAATTCACTTAAGTTTTAAACACTTAACAGAATCAAAACTTTTTAATATTTCTTGTTATAAATATTATCTGTCAAAAAAGACATAAAAAGTTGAAGGTTGAATGAAAAAATTAACAAAAAATCCAGTTTCCCATCCTTAAAAAAACGCCATCCCTAAATTTTTTGTACGTACGACGAAGAGTAATAAGAAGGAAAAAAATGAACACATTTTTAGTTGCTGCATATTGTTTTTAAATCACTTTTTTATTTCTTTTTATGGGTCATTTATTTAAATAATGCATAATAAAGAGGAGCAGTTCGGTAAAATTAGTTAAAATTGTTTGCAGTACGGATATAGTGAACCGAAATTTCGATCCCTCGAAGGTTTACTGTAACGGGGTTTGACTGTAGTTTGTAATCTTGACATTTAAAAAAAAAAAAAGTTGTGTGGTTGGTTAATTATGTTTGTAGTAAAAAGTAGCTGTAGTTGTAATTAACTGTAATAAAAATGTAGATTTTCCAACCTCTGGAATGGGCTATAAACATGCCAGTTACTTCTTTTGCTAATGCTTGTTTTCTATTTTGCTAGTCATTCTTAGTTTGTTTTGATGTCACTATTGACAACTGCCTTTATTCTTGAATTATGGAGTTACTGTATTATTCCAATCTACCTTATTTAAATAGTTAGTTACTTCATGGATAGGTAATATCACTAAAGTTATCCGTTACTTGTAAACTTATCCAGTGATATTAATTTTTCTTGTTCTTATAAATAATATCATTATTTTAACTTTTTATTAAGTATTTTTTATTTAGAATAAATTTTTTTTGAAATGTTGAAATAAAACTTTTTTGAAAACTAGTTCATGTCTACATTTTCTAACAAACTTTATTAGTTTTAAAATACTTTTGTGTATGCCAAATTATTAATTGAAAATAAGCAAATTTAAATTATGAAAGTCAGAGAAACTTCAAATCGTCTGGCCATACTGAGGATTAACTTCGATACTAACTTATAATGAATGTTATTGTTTGATCTCAAATTTATGCAATGATAATTAGTGCTTCGTGGTTTTTAAAACCCCTATAATATTACGATGTACGAGATTCAAATTGAGTAGTCACTTTTTAATGCATTCAATTTGTGCCCATTCGCAGTTTTGATTTCCATGTGGATTTTTTGAAATCCCAATATTTATATCGTAATATTTTGGTGCTTAATATTCCAATCATGCATTTGAGTTATCTTTTGTGGCATGCCCAATTTGCACTAAATTCATGCGGTGTTTTGATTGTGTTTTTTCAGGCAGTTATTACTGCTGATTTCCGCATGTTTTTAAAATATTTTTTTTTATATATTTATCATTTTATATTTCCTCGTGATATTGTTATGATACAAGAAATTCGTATCACGCATTTGAGTATTTACTATTTAATTATTAGGTATTTATTATTAAAAAAAAACCTAATTATATCCATAGTTTGTAAAAGATTTCAAATAATTTCTTTTTCCAGTAGTCCCATGTCTGCATCATTATTTAATGATCTAAGCTTCATTGAGTTTAATTTTTGGATAGAATTTTCATCACAGGTTTTCCTTTTATAAATTAATGTTTTTAATTTTAGCAGTAAAGTTTTAATACATTTTCAATTGTTATGTTGTATTAAACAAATATTTACTTCATTATTTATTAGTTTACTGATAAAGGCAATTTTAGCTTCAAGGAAATGTTTTTTTTCCCAGGAAAATAAATTAATTATTCTAGTGCTTTTGCTTACTTTATCTTGTAAAAAAAAAAATTGTGTTTAATGGATCTCAAACAGAATCTTTTATTTACTGTGATATTTGTTGTGATCTATAAAATTTTTTCTTTTTTTCAGTTACAAAACTTGCTTGTTACATAATAAAAACTTATACAAAACCTAGATTTTCCTGATACAAAATAATACATTACCTAAATTTTCCTGATACAAAAATGTATGCAATTTTTAGAAATTAAGTGGGACCCCTGGTTCTATTGTGGCTTATCACTATAATTTCACATATTGTATTTAAAAACAATAATTATATATCACAACTCTCCCCCCCCCCTCGTGCTGTGGTAATTGATATCAACCAGAATGACTTCTGTTTTTTCTATTTTAAAACATTAGTGTAGAATTTTTATTCTAAATCAAAAATAAAAGAATATGTTCTTAATATTGAATAAAAAATTTAGAGTTGTATAAAAGGATAGCTATTGAAACATGTTCTTAATATTTAAGTAACATTTAATAAAACATGTAATAAAAAAAGAACAAAGAGAAATTTTATTTTAGTTGTTTTTTATTAAATAATTAAAATTTTTTCTCCCCTATAAAACTAAAATTAATTCATTAAATTTAATGAATGAATTAATATTTGAATAAAACTGTATTAACATCGAGTGTCATTCGCTACAAGTTTAAAAAATTGTATTTGAACCTGAGTGGATGAATTAAAAGTATTTTATGAACGATTTGAACAAGATATATAGAGAGAGTGAGAACGTGAGAACTAAAAGTTGGAATTAAAAAATAATAGAGCATTTAGAAAATTGTCCTCATAAAAATTTTAGTGATGCCGCCTATTGATCATTACAATAACTACCTAGTTAAGTAAAGTAGATCGCTTAGTGGAACATTGCTGGAATTTCGCGAACTTTCTCAAGTCAGGGTGAAATGTTATTTGTGTGAATTTCTTCCTTCTCAGGAAAGGGTGTCAGATGATCAATCAATTGCATCACATTGTAAAAACAAAATTAAAATTTGTCGCCCTGTGATATCTTACTTCCAGCATACATTTGCTTAGTTATTGAACTTCTGAACATTAAATTAATATAAAATATATTTTTAAAAAGTGGTATTTTTTTTAAATGTCAGGAAGTTCTCTAACATCAAGCGCATCATCATTAACATTTTATGGTTCTTTCATGTAATATTTTGTTATAGTTTTTTTTTTAGAAAAAGGAATGTCAATATAATTTGTCTATGGTAAGAACTCCCCTCTGCCACTAAGTCTGAGGCTGTCTGCTGCTATGGAAACTCATTTCAGGAAAGATAGCTTCTCTTCACTCTAGGGCTGACACAATAGACCGGAGAAAAAGATTCCCTTCCTCTGTCCGACCCTAGCTTAAACCTGTCCTAAACCACACACTCCTACCTGAAATAGGCATACCTCGTTACCATTGGTTAGGGGAGTTCTAACTTCAGACAAACTATACAGTATTTTTAAAACCATTGTTTGCATTATTTTCATAAATTTTAAACTCTTTTTAACAAACAGGTCTGTGAACTTTAGCACTAAGCATACCAACACTTAGCATATACCTATTTCTACCATAGCCGGTCAAATGACCGTAATTTATGTTTCTTGATTGAATGTATGAAATATGGATGTTAGAAAGGAAGTGAACTAAAAAGAACTTTATTATAATGAAACAAAATTGTATATTGCTAATTTCGATGTACATGCAAGGCATAAGAATTTTCAATTCATTGCTCAATGCATTTTTTACGTATACAGGGTGTTTCCATTCTACATTTTCCGCAAACTTATTTCTTTATTATTATTATTATTTCTATAATTTTTGTATATACAGTGGAAAGTCGCGTATCCGGAATCGGCGGGACTTTCCGAAGTCCGGATAATCGATTTTTCCGTATAATAGACCCCCAAGGTAAACAGAGATTAAAATNTATAATTTTTGTATATATATAAGAATTATTATTCTTACAATTAATATTATTTCTTCTAAGAACTTGTGCTGTCTTGATAGTATCAACATTTTTCTGGGTGAAAACTAACAGTTAGTTAGAAATGAATTAAAGCTATCAAAATGAAATATAAGCTACTTACCAAAACATTTATAGTTTTTGTCACTTTTTCTTGCACAAAAATGTCAATCTAAAATTGTAGGTACTTTCTTGACATTTGAATTCACTGTTATTCTGATTGAACTCACTACGCAGCAGTCTTTGCAGAAATATACAACTCATCGAGTGCAATACGTTGAATACGCATTACATTGTCAATTCTGATCCGTTCACCTTATAAAACAATAAATTGTTCTCCTGGTCAAATGACCAGTTGTGGTAAAAATAGGTATACGACAAGTACTATACTGTCACAAGTACAAAATAATAATAATAAAATATTAACTGTATATTTTTGTTAAGAAAAGTCAAATGTGCAACAACGATAAGATGATAAGCACATTTTTGATGCAAAAGTTCTTAAACAGTCATTTGACTGGTCATGGTATGTTTAGTGTTAAGAACTGGTTCTAAATCTGTAGACTGACTAAATGAAACATTTCCGAATTTAAAAAGCATATTCGTTTAAACTATCATAAAATGACATGGTTAATTTAAAACCACAGATATAGTGACACAATCTGAATACATTAAGAATAAATGTTATGTTTTAATTATCTTAACACAATGAAATATTTTAACGCAATGCTAAAACCCCAAGAAATATTCAATACACTGACTTGTGCTAGGTTTAATGATTCAATAAAGACTTTTAATATTAAATTTAAATAATTTCTCAATTAGAATTTTAAAAAAGAAAAATCCTACTATATGCATCTAATTCTGTGTTAATAAAATGTGTTATATCTAAATTAATTACTATTTAAATGTGTTTTTAATTTTCTAGGAGTAGCTGTAGTTTTGGATATTTTTTGTGTATTGAAATGTTTTTAATGAAAATTATAATTAATAACCTTAATATCTTAGCATTACATGCTGAACTGATGGTTAAATCTAATGAAACGCCGGCTAGGTTTTGTGTTGGTTTGAGTACTAAATAAAAAAATAATTACAGCTTACAGCAAAAGATAATTCAGCTAATCACCGACTTTTATCAAAAATCGGTGATTTCAATTGTTTGTGGTCTCCAAACTATTGTCTCTAAACTTTAATATATGGATGCGTGAACTTTATCTTAGAAAAATAATCTTCAATTGTCTGTTTTCAAAATGTCTTAGAATACAGCGAGCAAGGTTTATAGTGAACTCCCGGATAGAGTAAGCGAAATGTTCGCTCCCATTCCTTGCTATACACATATAGTGTTATTTCTTGTGGATATAGTGAATCAAAAAAAGAGAGAGGAAGTTGTATATTATGAACTTTTTTCTGTCTTCGATTTATTTTATTTTCTTCATTTTCTAAGTAATGATTTTGAAATTTCTACTTCAAAGTAAATACATATACTGATTTTTAAAACCATCTATTGCATGGAATGTAGCGAGAAGCATTTTTTCTTGTTTGCTTCATTATTGAATAGCATCATTGAATTGGTTCTGCATTCATAAAGCCGCAATCTTCCAGTATCTGGACAAATGCTTCAAGTCAAAGCAGATGAATTTGCAAAGCTATTTGCTGTGACTACTTTTATGCTCTCAAATGCCTGGGTAGACAGGTTTAAAAAGCAGAATAACATAAATTCATGAAAAATTATCGGAGAGTCTGGAAGTGTCAGGGGTGAAAGTTTTCCTGTTTTGACGGATTTCCATCCTTTAAAAAAAAAAAACATAAGATGGAGCGAAACGGAATATTACTATAGGTAAATTCTAAGTTTTTTCTTTTTTTAATATTTTATGCGATAGACGGATTCAGTGGGAAAAGTCCCACACGACCGATTCTTTCTTTTCCTGGTTCCGTATGTAGGTTAACGTCAGAGGAGAGAACCAGTTTTCTCTAATGTCGAAGGTGTGTAGGGGAAAACGTCACTGCAACATGTGACTTCACCTTCCTGTTTAAGATCAATCAGTAAGTTCCGTGCTTGCTTGAATAAATTTCCGTTTTTATTTTTCTTTAGAAAAAAAAATTGGTATTGGTTAGAAGTGAAGTAAAGTGAAATTCGCAAAATTTGTGGATTGTTGTGGGATTGTTTTTCTATCTCACGTGTCTACTAGTCACGGTGTGAGAGGGGGTGAGTTATTAAATGCTATAATGGAATTTATCAATGACAATGATGCTTTAAAAGTTAACGGTGTAGGAATAAAAAATAAGTGGAGATTTGCTTGGTTAGAAGAGAGTGATGCGCAAATAATTTTAATTAAATATAAATTGATAAATAATTTTAGTTTGTAATTAAAATTTCATAATTTTTCTTTTTAAAATTGATAAATATAGATATACTGTAAAGATAGTTGTGTACATGCAATATATTTTTAATCAATATATCTTAATTTTAATAAGCATTGTGGACTTAACGTTTATTAAATATCAACATTTTGTTGAATGTTATTTTTACTATTGAACTATGTTTAGCTTGAAAATTGTTTTTGTTATTTATTAACAAAGTATTAACTTAACTAAGTATTATTCTTTTCCTTAAAATGCTAGTACTTTATTTTACTGGAAAATTAACTGTTCGAAAAAAATTAAAAGCTGAGGTTATTTTTGCTTGAAATAACTAATTACTTTGCATTTTTTTGTTTATACTCCTGAACTATAGTAGGTTTGCTAAAATAAATATGGAATTTTTATAAGCCTTAAATGTATTTTGTGTATTTTAATTTTTATTGAAAAGTTTGTTCACAATTTTTATAAAAGGAATTCATATATAATTTTTTGCTTACTTAAAATTATCGAACAGGACATGCCCACTTCTGATTTTGAAATTTTCAGTCTTGAAAATTTTTAAAACTATAAAGTGGGAAGTGTTTTCTGTGTTACCCCTGGAAAGTGTTTCCATATCTAATGTGAAGCATTGTTCATCAGCTAAAGATTTTTTTTTGTACGCACGACGAAGAGAAATAAAAAATATAAGTCAGCACATTTTTTGTTACTACGTATTATTTTTCAGTTATTTTTGTATTTCATTTTATTGGTTATTTATTTGAATAATCTGTAATAAAAAGGGGGAGTTTGAAACCATTAGTTAAAATTGTTTGCGGAATGGATATAGTGAAGTCCTTGAGGGTTCGCTATAGTGGGTTTTGACTGTATTTCTGTTGAGTTGTGCAGTTCAATTTATTCTCTTTTATTGTTACGACTACTCTTCAGAAATTTAATTTCGAAATCTTTTGTAAGGGGACTGTCTCAATTGGTCCCTGATTAAATGGCATAATGTCTTAACTTAAAAGGTTTTTTACATTATTTTATTATTCTCTAGACCACAATAAAAAAGTTAAAGGACTACCTGAAATTGTTATTGATGACACTGACTACGACACTCCTGACCGATCATTTGGAGACCTGTATTGCAAGGTATCTTATCTATTCTCAGTACTATTATTATCAGTGCTTAAAAAATGCTTTTCATCTGAAGATTATGATGAAATAATCTATTTAAAATGTCTTATCCAAAAACATATTAAAAGAGATCCTTTTAACTGTACTGCATTCATTTAAGATTTACTTTGTGTCATTTTTGTATTATTATTTTATTATATTACGTTTTCTCCAATTAATTAATTTAGTGGAATTGTATTGCTCTTTATTTTTAAATTTGTTTTGTTGAAAATAAAAAAAAGTGACTATCATGCTCCTTTTAATGCAATCGTGACATATTATTTTGCAAAACATGCAATTACTTTTTTTTTTTTATGTAAAACCCTTATAACTTATACCACTAGAAACTTCAGGTACTTATATAGAGCAAAACTGAATCATTTAAGGCAATTTTTTTCCTTAACATTTCCATATTCTACTTCTGAAATGGCCTATTAAAAATATGGTTTATGTTTTCTCCAATTAATTAATTTAGTGGAATTGTATTGCTCTTTATTTTTAAATTTGTTTTGTTGAAAATTAAAAAAAGTGACTATCATGCTCCTTTTAATGCAATCGTGACATATTATTTTGCAAAACATGCAATTACTTTTTTTTTTTATGTAAAACCCTTATAACTTATACCACTAGAAACTTCAGGTACTTATATAGAGCGAAACTGAAGCATTTAAGGCAATTTTTCTCCTTAACATTTCCATATTCTACTTCTGAAATGGCCTATTAAAAATATGGTTTATGTTTTATAGTTATACATACCTGCCAAGTCTCCTGTTTTTTTCCTGTGACGGCTATCTATTGTTTATCTGTATATTCTCAAATTTCTCCGTATTTGCTGAAGAAATTTAAAAAATTCGACGATGAAATATCCGCTGGTGGCAAAAATACTTCTCTTATTCCTCAAAAATGGATGGTGCTATTGTCAGTACTGGAGTGTGTTGTTTTATAGTTTAAGTAATTATAAATAATGGTTTAAAAAAATCCTCTTTAGATTAAGATTTATATACATATTTTTATTTCGCTATATATGTAAGTGCTTATATTATTTCTAATTTTGACTTACATGATTATGCATTATGCGATGTATCAAAATTTTATGCATAGCCTAAAAAATGTCGCTAGTAAAATCTCCTTTATTTTATTTCTCCAATGTTGGCGGGTATACCTTTTTAATGTAGAAAAGTGAAATAAACTTGTTTTAAAATCAATGTTTGAAATGTTGGTATCACTCAAAATATGAGCAATGTTAGTTTTTATTTAGTTGTTACATATGTATAATTTTTTAATTGGTTTTTCTTAAGGCCTGTGACTCTCATATGAACTCAGAACAAATGTGGGAAGCTCATATTCAAGGAAAACGTCACCAAAAAGTAAGAGTCTTCTTCTCAAACTATTTAACTATTCAACAGGGAACTTGAATAGAATCTAAAATAACAGGGAAAACGGAGGGAATTTTTCCTTACAAATTGGGACAATACAGGAAATTTTATTTCTTATTTTCGTCCATTTGCAATCTGTGAAAGATAATTTTATAATTCAAAGGAAGGATGATAGTTCAGCTACACTATACTATTTCATTTACAATAGCATTATTTGTTTTAAATACCTTGAGTAGTTCTTTGTTTGTCTAATTTTTTCCAGCAATTAAAACTAGTATATTTATCCTAATATAGCTCACACAAGAATACGGTAATTGTGTATTTCTTCTTAATATGTCACAGCAATGTTCCGAAAACGTAATTTTTTGGTTGGTCCAATTATTACAGTTGGTCTGAAACCCCAGCTGCCCGAACGATAGCCGTACTTCGAACAAACTTTTTTTCCGGTAGTAGCCATCATCAGGAGAAAATGGGTGAAGCTATGGCAGCTGCGGCCTTGCATTGACAACCGCTGTAGACTAGTTTCTTGAGTTCCAAGCGATTTTGTTTTGGCTGCCGTTATTTGATCTGGGGTTTATTGTGATGTATAATGAATTTGCGCATCGTACATTATAGTTTTCTAAGCTTCGCTAGTTCTTATTTTTGGCCATTTACACTTTTATCTCCGTTCACATATATTTTTTCCATTTACTTTTGTCTTTTTCACATGGTGCATTGTAAAATGAATGTATTTTAACAATGAAAGTCAATTTGATAGACAAATAAAGTGTGTACGATCAATGCTGCTGAAAAAAATGATTAGTTAAATAAAACAGTCAGAGTGACTAAAACTGTTATCAACTATCTATCATAAGATATTGAGGTGAAAGTTAGCGACTGGTAATCAATTTAAAATGATGATTATTGAGTCTTATGTATAGCTTAACTTTCTTTAATGTAGTGGTGGTCAAAGTTGTTTAAAATTAAATTTTAGAAAAATTTAAATTTTACTATCTGCTATTTATTTTAGATTTCAATGCTTCTGCCACCTTTAATATAAAATAAAAAATCTCACTGCACAATTAGAAGTTATGTTTTTATATATCTTCAGGGGTCTGTCCAGGCCAAATTTACAACCGTCTAGCGGTACCTTCACAAATTCAACTTTAGGAAGAACGGTAGTTTCACAACATACTTTTTCTTAACATTTTATTTTTGTATCCCGTAAGAAACTATAAATCTATATTTTTGTGTTGATATTTATTATAATTTTTAATTTTCACTAATTATATCTAAATTTTCACGAAATAGGTACCTCTCAGAAATACCTAGACAGACCCCTGATCTTATTGATAACATAGTATTACATAGAACACTACCTCCTCCCATTGTCTGTGTTGTAAAAGCTTAGCTTTTTTTTTTCTTGTCTAACAATTTTTTAATTAAAATCAGATGTACTTAACTAAAAAATTTTCTCTTTACCTCTATTGAGCAGCAAAAACTAATTCTTTTAAAGGAAAACAAACTAACTTTCTTCAATGAAGCCTTAATTTTAGATTGGAGTAGTATCTGCTATTTGTTTCATGATTATATCTGTGAATAGCAATAAAATACATGGTATTCTTTTGATATATCTACTGCAAAATAGCATGATTTTAAGAAAGACTTGATATTCCCACCAAAAATAGCAAGAAAATTATTTATAAAACAAACTGTGCAATATAATAAACAGGGTCATTCTTAAGTTTTTAGAGCCTGAGTTTTCTTATTTCTATATTTTTTTTTTGTACTTCTAAAAATAAAAAAATTAGGTTTTGAATCGTTTTTTAAAGTTATTTTGATGCAAGTATGAAAAAAGAAATTTCATTCCACAAAATGGAGCACCATTTTAAAAAAATAAAACTAAAACCATTGGTGTCATTTGTTAGTAGCGAGTCACACGTATTATTCTGTGGTTCGAGAGTATAAGAAATTGGGAGTGTGGGTAGGGTCAAAAAACTTCCAGAATGGTTCAATAACAAATTATTAAAAATAAAACAATGTTATTTTATTGGCCTTAAAAGTACTTTCCACCTGCAAACACATACTTCTTCCAGCGTTCCTATGATGTTCGAAATACTCTTGGAATACCTTCAATTGCTTCATCAAATTTTTTATTGCCTTATCTGAATTCACAAAGTGGTGTCCCTTTAATTTCATTTTCAGCCGTGAAAACAGGTAAAATTCCGCTGATGCTAGGTCGAGAGAATAAGGAGGTTATTTCAGAGTTGTAACATTGTGCTTTTTCACAATTAGAGCACGATATGGTGGAGCATTGTTGTGTAAAAGAAACCAATAATTTGTTGTCAGGTCGTTTTAGTCTAATTGCATCTCGTAGTTGTTTAAGAATCCCCAGGTAAAGACATTAATTGACCTTCAGATGAATAAATTCATAGTGAATGAAGGCCTTGTAATCGAAGAAAAAAACACTTCTAAAATAACTTTCTCTCTGCTTTTATTCAAGTGAAATTTTTCCTTCCTTAATGAGTCCCAGACCCCCATCTTGAAATAGATTCTTATAGATTTGAAATAGTAAGGAGTTTTATTTTTTAGGATCAATTATTACTATTGAGAACAAAATGACTCCTGAAATGAAAAGCTGACTCTATCTGGCAAATGGAGCTGTCTATGGGCTGAGAAGATTTTTTAAATCTAGGTTGCTTTCTATAATCTTAATCTGTAAAACTCTTGTCAGGCCAGTCTTGGCATACGCTTCTGAAGCTGAAAATTGTATTGCAACATTAGAGAGAAAGATTTTGCAGAGTATACTTGATGGTGTAAATGAAAACAATAACTGGAGAAGGGGATTTAACTTTAAACTGTACAAGATTTATAAACAACCCGATATTATTAAATACGAAAAAATAAATAGAATGAATTGGTTGGCCCTCGTGATTCGAATGAGTGATAACAATACGATAAAAATGATACTGCTTTTTAGACCCACTGGAACAAGAAAGCGGAAAAGGTCGTGGTTGGATGGGCTGACTCGGTGGAGTCTGATTTTTTTGCCATTAATGAAAAGAATTGGAGATGAAAGATAAATTGGAAGTCGTCATGGAGAAAACTTCAGAGGAAGGCTTTGGCCCTCATTGCGCTCTCTGGCAAACTATGATGATGATGAATGATGTTTTTGCTTTCTTTTCACTTGACTGACGCTTTGTGTAAAAGCCCTAAAGCACCATGTTTAATCAGCTGTCGTCAAATCTCTAAACATGTTCCCTCTCACTCTGGTGATAACGCTTTTATAACCATGTGCAAATCATCATTGCTTGATGATTTGAACATGTTGCAGCATGTTCAAATCATCATGAAGAAAGCTGTGAACACTCTCACGTGAAATTTCAAGTTCAGAGGCATCAATATTTATTCGCCTGTCCCTAGTCACGATTACTCAAACGGCACCAGACTCAAGGGTCATCTTTGATACTCTGCGATATTTTCGAAAACATACACAGCCGCATAGCTGACAACTCTACTGGATTTCCCAGTAGACTACTGGATTTTGCCGTTTCTCCTGGTCTACCAATTTAATTAAAATTCTCCTGGTTTTTATAAATTTTTGAAAATTACCTGAAATTAAAGTTTCTTGAACAAATCCCTACTGAAATAGAATTTTTGTACGATTATTCCTTGCTTGAATATTAAAATAAGTATTACTAATACATAATGAAGCAAACCTCATTTGTAGAAATAAGTTCAAAACTTTTTTTGTTATAAAATGTTCAGTTTGTTTTTATTCAAAACTCTCTTTTTAAACTAATTGGAAAAAAATCTTTTAACATCTTTGATGAATTAAATGCTTTTTAATATTTGAAATTATGAGTATAAAAAATACATCTAATCAGAAAATGAATCTAATTTACAAATACAGAAAGGGACAAAAAGGTAAATTAACAATTAAAACATTAAATCAAAATGGAAAAGCGCCTAAAGCAGTTGAAACCAAATTTGCTTTATTTTAATTTAGATATTAAAAAAAAAAACAATTAAGGCAGGAAAAAGTAATAAAAATAAAAGATGTGTGTTGGCAAGACAGCACTTCATCAGGGGACACACTGCCTGCCAAGACACAGGAGGCTTTCTGTTGTCAGTTTAAAAACCAAAAGTCACAGTGCCCCGAGGCCCCATGATGGATCGACAAATAAGAGAAAATCATTATAAGAATTGAAAAGCACAGAAAAATAATTAACCAGCAAACACAACCTGAAAGTACACATAGTAAGACTTAAAAATGATACACCCACTTATAAATAAAAATACTTGCTGTTAGAAAAACCAAATCAAAATAAAATATAAATTGCCAAATCAGTTAGAAAATATAACAAATAAATTAAGTGCTGAACCCAGTGAGAAAGTATTATAAGTAAATCCAGTGATATTTATAAGTGGGCGTATCATTAAGTGATTATGATTGATAATGATTTTCTCTTATTTGTCTATCCATTATGGAGCCTCGGGGCACTGTCACTTTTGGTTTTTCCACTGACAACAGAAAGGCTCCTGTGTGTTGGCGGGCAGTGCCCCCCGCCTCCCCGATGATGTGCTGTCTTGCCAACACGCATATCTTTTATTTTTATTGCTTTTTCTTGCTTTAATTGTTTGTTTATTTTTTGAACATCTAAATTATATATAATGCATAACATTTCAAGTGTGTTTAATGTTAATTATAACTGGAAAATATTGCAATTTTTGTATTTTGATGACAGTAAAAATCCCTAAAATTCCCCATGTGTAAAATATTTAGTACATTATCATGAAATTTATATTTTGTAAAATCTACTTGATTTTTTCCTGTCCACTTTGGCAGGTATGCAGTCGTCTTTTTTAATTTCTGTATGCTTTTATATAGTGTAGAATTTGATGTTTGCTCTAAAAATGACAATGAATGCTATAAATGATCTGCAGCTGACAGTGCCAGAAGTAAATTTCTAATGGCTGTGCGTTTTCTTTACCAGTGCTGACACCTAGGT